TCTCAATTTATGATATTCAGATTTTATTTTAATGCAAAATTCGTAATATTTGATATTCACATCTTCTTCTGCCTCTAGGGAGCTCATGGAGAGAGAGGACCTGCTGGCATCAACGGACCTGCTGGACCTAGAGTAAGTTCATCAGTTATTTTACAGAAAAGAGTTCACTAACAATCTGGTACTTGCAGAGTCTGATGATGATCAAAACATTCAGTTGTGTAGAGTGTATGTACAATGTTCCAGTAAGTGGCAAAAGTATATAAAGCAAAAAAATTATACATGATTAGCAGGACTTCAAATATGTTATATGTAAGTATTGACACATTTACCAGTTTTACACATGCACATAATGTCAATAAAATGGCAAGCTGATCTGTTATGAATTGATTTTTTTCTCATGTGGCCTTTGCTCTATAGGGACCTGCTGGATCTAACGGTTCCCCTGGTAAGGATGGCATGAACGGTCTGCCTGGACCCATTGGACCCCCTGGACCTCGTGGACGCAATGGAGAGATGGGTCCTGCTGTAAGTGCCACTACAAATACTTTGTTTTAACCGAATACTTAACATCGGGAATGTGTCTGCAGTTTGTAAACACATGGTGTTTCCAAACAGGGTCCTCCCGGACCTCCTGGACCTGCCGGCCCCCCTGGACCTCCCGGCGGTGGATTCGACTTTGTCAGCCAGCCTATTCAGGAGAAGGCACCCGATCCCTTCCGTGGCGGCCACTACCGCGCTGACGACCCCAACATGATGCGCGATCGCGACATGGAGGTCGACACCACCCTCAAGACCCTGACTCAGAAGGTTGAGAAGATCCGCAGCCCCGATGGTACCCAAAAGAGCCCTGCCCGCATGTGCCGTGACCTGAGGATGTGCCACCCTGAGTGGAAGAGCGGTGAGTGCAGATCAGAGCCCTGATACAGCTTGTAGATGAAGTGTAACGAAGCTCAGACTCAAACTGATGTATGTTCCTCTGTTACAGGCATGTACTGGGTTGATCCCAACCAGGGATCTCCTCTGGATGCCATCAAGGTCCACTGCAACATGGAGACTGGCGAGACTTGCATCTCCCCCAGCGATTCCAGCGTCCCCATGAAGAACTGGTACCTCAGCAAGAACATCAGAGAGAAGAAGCATGTCTGGTTCAGCGAGTCCATGACCGGTGGATTCCAGGTAAGAAGTCAAAAAAGGTTTCCTGCACAAACTAAAATCATCCAGTTAGTCAGTGACAGTAAAGCACATGCACCCATCTCCTCTTCCCGCCATGCAGTTCCAGTATGGCAGCGATGGAGCTGATCCCGAGGATGTCAGCATCCAGATGACCTTCATGCGCCTGATGTCCAACCAGGCCTCTCAGAACCTGACATACCACTGCAAGAACAGCATTGCCTACATGGACTCCGCCACCGGCAACCTGAAGAAGGCCCTTCTTCTCCAGGGCTCCAACGACATTGAGATCAGAGCAGAGGGCAACAGCCGCTTCACATACAGCGTCAGCGAGGATGGCTGCACGGTGAGCTTGCATTTATATACATTTCTAAAGGGAAAGATATAAAATCATATTATAATTAAACAAACAATACTTGTGCGCAGTTAAACGTCTCACTTTCCTGAGCAATTTCTGACTTGTTCTTCTTTTTGTTCGTCTCCACAGTCACACACTGGCACATGGGGCAAGACAGTCATCGACTACAAGACATCAAAAACATCCCGCCTGCCCATCATTGACATTGCTCCTATGGATGTTGGTGCACCTGATCAGGAGTTTGGCGTCGAAGTTGGCCCCGTTTGCTTCTTGTAAAAATGAAAGAAATATGGACATGACATTGTTGTTTTTTTTCTAGCAGTCATCTCTAAATCCTTTTTCTATGCATTCAAAACTCATTTGGCTGCCATTGGTCCACATGCTTTAAAACCACTCTACTGAAGACGGTGTTTATGTTTTTCCAATCATGAGAAGTTTTTGGGACTGCTACTTCAACCAAAACCAACCACACGGACACTTTAAAAAGAATCTTTTGTTTCCACTGGCAACAAGAAAATAATATATACTTGTGTAAAATTTCCCCCTGGAGATTGAGAAAAAAAAAGATCCACACACGCAATGAAACACAGGTGACTTTTGCCATTTTCTACCACTGCGGAAAGGACATTGAAAACAACTAATGATATGTACCATTTTCTGGTGTTAAATAAATTGTAAAAAGTGTGAAGTGTCTTCGTGTTCTAAATTCCTAAAAAAAAAAAAACACCTGAATGTTGCTCAGACAAAGCAAAGACCAGCAAAAGAGCAAGACAAAGAAGCTCACCTTCATTGCAATATGTAGATGGCTACCTCAAAACAAGAAGTCACCCCAATTTTTTCTTAAATGAAAAGGGTATATTTTACACGAGTCTATTGTGGTGAAATCAAACACATTCAAAGGTGCTATTACCATTTCAATGAGTTCCAGTTATTGGTGTTTGATAGTGAAAATCTCACTGTCATACTGTAATTATTGCCACTAATGCCTGCAGAACCTTTGGTGCTACTAAATTGACTCATTGTCTTGTTGTCTATGCAGTGCAATTGTTTTCTTCTTAAGTGTTGGTTTGATAAAAGAGTTCCTCAGAAAAGGTGATCACTGCATTGTAATGCATGCAATCGTGTCTTTGTAGATAAAAGCAAGTGACTCTGGTTCAATATCATTTCCCTGCCCATGTGTTCAGTGTTGATCCTTCTGTCTATTTGCCCCTGTGGAAAACTCCTCTTCACTAAAAAAAAACAGCACACATCTCCCCCCTGTTGTTTATGTTGTTTGTTGATGTCTATCGCGAAGGGTTTCTTAAAAAAGAATTTGAAGCAGACCCACTTTCATGGTTTAAAAGAGAGATTCTGTACTTATTTTGTACATGTATAATAAATTGAGATGTTTTTAATTATTTTGGGTGCTGAAATAAAGCATGTGAAGTGGTCTACTCAGTGGCGGAGTTTTCACTGTTCTGTTTTGCAACTGTTGTGAAACTGACATCAGGTGGTAGGATTTCATAAATTCTCCATTAACTGAAGTTGCATTTCACATTTTCAGAAACCCCAGGAAACCATGCATGCTCCTACGCTGGTATTGAAACAGAGTTAAAATCGGTTCAGGAATCAACTGATCCACAACAGTTGCACTGAGGGCATTTCAATTAAGCAGCAGTGAAAACAAGGCCAATGTCCAATATTCCAACCTGGCACATCGTCATCGATACACACAGTTAATACTTTTTATAATTTCTGCCTATTTGTTCCTAAAACAGTATAAAATGCATCAGTAAGCACAAATCAAGGAATAATCAGACTTGCAACCATTGCAGTGTTCATGTCACTTGTCTTGTTTTTTTCTCCACAATCACTCAAACGTGTGGAGATTTGCATGAGAATGAAGTTTTTCCTCACACCAAACTGTTAACAGGAGAGGAGATGTGTGTCACAGGACCCAGGACCCAAATCAGATGAAGATACACTGGCGACCCCTTCTGGACTTCTAATGCAACAACAGCTGCTTTAAAGGAAAGTTCAACACTGTGAAAAGGATGAGGAAACTGCTGCAGCACTGCTCTCTGATGGTTTGACATTTTAAGGTTTCACATTGCACTTCTGGCCTCCATCAAACAGTAAAAGCATAAAATGTAAAATATTTCACACTCTGAGAAATAATTGAACCATTGTTGTTTTATATCAAGCGACATAATGTGACTGCAATAGAGCTATAGTTCCTAACCATTTTGAATTGTGAGCCTTTAAAGCAAAACAAAGCCTACTCACAGCCCTTTGTAACCGTAACATATGTCTATAGGTAGGTAGGTATAGAGGTCTGAAGAGGTAAAAGTTTTCAATATTTCACAATAAATCATCAAAAATTTGTTTAGTGTTTAGCTGAAACATATTTTCTATTGTTTCCTGTCTTGTTAATCTGCTGATCCGTCAGATTTCTCCTTCTACCCCTTGGAGTCCTGACCCCAAGTTAGGATCCGCTGTGTTAAAGAAATACAGACAGAGGAAAGACAAATGTATTTAGTTTAAAATGTGACAGACTAGCACTTTCATAAGAATCTTTCTGCATTATCATTCACATATTTGCACTGACCCAGTGAAAACAGACAAAGACAGCTCATCTCTTTTGCTCTGACTCCCTCAATCACTGCTCCTGCCAAACCTCAGAAGTAAACTGTAATAGATGAAATTCTATAAAGCCTTGGCAGCAGATTTGCACATGGTGGAAACTGACATCCCAGCCTTGCTATGCAGCCAGGTTGATACTGTCGTCCTTACGTACTCCTGTGGTACAGTGAGCTGTACAAAGCTTGCTCAAGCAGCAAGGCATCTCTGAAATTGCAGATGTGATCATTTAAGACTCTGCAAAGAGTCTTGAAGGATAGTTCACAATTTATCAAATCTGTTTTGAAACAATCCTCGGGTGCCCGTATCAACACAGAATTGCTTGCTGTAATCACTGCTCCTGTTTATACTGGCTGTGAAAAGATTCCTTACTAGGTTATAGTGTAAATGACGAGAGTCAAAACCAACAGTTCTTTTTCTGTGAAGAAATACTTTCCAGAGTTTATCTGAAGCTTCAGCAGTCTGCACTAATCAAATCAATTGGATATATTCCTAAATAAGTCTTTTTAGTATAAAATTCCCTCTTTTGTTTCCCCTGGACAGCATTCCCTGTTAAGCTGCAGTGAAAGGATGGTCACAAAAAGAAGAACTTTTGTACTAAAAAAGACTAACTTATCTTAATCTTCATCATCACTCATCTTAATATCTTAATAAATTGTACAGAAAGGATATTGATTGTGTATTTTGTCTCCCATCACTTACAATGCTAAGGAAGGGATCTTTTAATGGCCAGTATGAACAGGAGGAATGATTTCAATGTTCATAATGTTGTACGAAACCTTTGACATCTTTGGCTTTGGTGATGTACACAACACGGAAGGAATACAGAAAATCATAAACGTTAAATAACAAGTTGACAAACTACACACTTTTTTATTTATTATCTATTGTAATGGCACCTAAGGAAGAAAAATCAAAAACAAATTTCGCACTCCAAATATAGAACCATAAACTGTGGGTAAAATAACTATGAATGACACTCAGTGCATCAAAGACACTTTATCCACCGTTGTGCTCACTTCCTGCAACAACAACAACAACAACAACAACAACAACATGTTATTCTCGCAATCATCAATAATAATCCAATAAAATAACATAAAAGCCTAAAAATAGAGCAGAATGAATGCAGTATTGTAGTAGGAAGTCCCATGAGTGGGTTTACCTGGGCAGTGTGTCACTGTAAGGATCACTATGAAAACAGGAGAACAAAAAAAAAAAATAATCTATGTTAAGAATTATTTTGAATTCTCAAGACTCCCAAGAAAAGTGTGTCATCAATTTAAGTTACATAACAATACTAATAATAGAAGCAGGATGACTAATGCTGGTAATTGTATTGATAAATGTAAAGAATCAGTGGGTGAGGTCCTTACTGCTGGGCCAAGATGAGGGGGATGCTGGGGCTGTCAGACTGCAGCAGTGGAGCCCCCACCCCAGTTCGGCTGTTGAACATGGGCAGTGTGGACAGAGGCGGAGAAACACCTCGGTTTCCAGCCATGTTCCTCAGCTCATCGGTGTTCCCGTGAATGGTGTGGTGGTGGTACAGCTGAATTCTACATCAAACAATATGTTATGTTTCTCTTCAGCCTGTTCATGAGTTTATACAGTTTCTTGAACTATGTTTGCTTTGAGACACTCAAACAGATTTCATAACTAGTGGTGGAAAGTAACCCAGTACATTTACTTAATTACAGTTTTGAGGTAGGTTTCTTGTACTTTTCTGATACTTTAAACTTCTACTCTACAACATTTCAGAGGGAAATATTCAAAATTTTATTCCGATACATTTATTTGAAAGCTATAGTTATTACATTGCCAGATTAAGATTTTACATTCAAAAACACATGACGAGTTTATAAAATACAATGTATTAATACTACAATTCACCACTGATCAATGCAAAATGTATCATGTTAATCAGACACTCAGTGTACTTACTGGTTTGTTCTTGCATCCCTTTTCGCACTATAAAAAAAAGAAAAAAAGTGTCATCTTTGCGTCACATTTTATCAGGATAAAACAAATGCCTAAATTTCCTTTGAGCATTTGCTTATAAGTTCAGTTCACACACATAACAGAAATGTGTATATGTCAAATGGAATCCATTTATTGGCACGGCTGCTTAAAGTTCCACAAGGGGTAATTAACTGACCCTTGATCACAACGACACTGTAGATGTATGTTTTAATCGGTAGTGTCAAAATAGATGCATACACTCCCTCTCGTCTGCCAAACATAATGTAGGCCAACAGGAGACACAGGATGATGGCGAGGATCAGGGGCACGATCACTGTCACGACGTAGTCCTGTAAAAAGTCTCTGCTCGGGGGAGACTTGGGCGGCTCGAAGTCACCTCCATCCTCCAGAATCCCAGAGCCTATCGTGGGAGCTGGAGGAGCCGGCTCCTGCTTTGTCAGATCAAACTGCAGGGAAAAGAAAGGAGAGCGGTTCTTCTGTTTATAGTACCTGTGAGACACACCAGTTCAGCATCCCAAAAAGGCTGAAACTAACCATTATTTCTATTATTTCTGGATTAATTGATTAATCATGTAGTGTATAACATTGGTTGTAGAACTGCAAAATTTTAGTCAGTTTAATGATTAGGCAGTCGAAAGAAATTTTATAGGAAACTCTTTTGATTATCAATTAATTGCTTAAATCATTTTTTAATAAAAAAGACAAAAACATTGGATACTTCCAGGTTCTCAAATGTGAGAAGTTTCTGCTTTTCTTGGTCTCACACAATAGTAAATTGAATATTTCTGGCTTTTTGGACTGTTGGTCAGACAAAACAAGACTTTCAATTATGTCAAAATCTGTTATCTGATACAGTAATGGGCATTTTGCACTGTTGTTTTATAGACCAAACAATTAATTTCTAATAAAAATAATTGTTTGTTTCAGCCCTATCTGCTTCCAAATCTGGAGGTCGGGAACTATCCAATGGGTCATGAGATAAATATGACATATATGACAATATGTTATCCTTTTAATCATCTTGTGACTGCTCAGATTTATCTTGGGATGCCTTGGTGGGTCTCAACCCCTAGTTTGGGAACCCTTGATCCCAAATCTCTTACATTTAAATAGAATTATTTGCTCATGCAGATACATCATGTATTTTATTTTTTCATTCATAAAGAATTCACATGTGACTATTCATGTGTCTTTTCAGGCCTCACCAGCTCCGTCTTGCACCACGTGATACAGTTACTGGGAATGCTGCAGAAGTTACAGCCTCCAGGGACCTTGACTTTGTCCCCTGCAGTGCTGCACTGCTTTTGATGCTCTGGTGTCTGGACCTTCAGGAGACAATCTGAGAAATACTGCTCCGACCCAACCTTCACATACACACTGACACAAATCCGATGTTCATAAACATACAATTACGAAGCTAAAACATTACAATCAGGTTGCACAAATGTCTCAGTTTACCCTTCAAAGTGTCCTGCAAGAGGGAGGGGAACTCTGCAGCCACGGTCGAGGGCGTTGGTAATATTGACAATTTCCAAGGCCTCTGTGTCCCACAGCTTCTGTAAATCCTGCTTTATCTCATCCTGAACAGGAGAGGGCAGCACCTTCTCAATCTCCCTCAGCTTGATGAAGAACTCTGCTTGATAGGGCAGCATTTTCCCTGTGAGTGACAGCGGTGATGAAAACACATGTCAGTCGTTATTGCACCTCCTACTTTAACTGTACATTGCATTTGTGATCACGCATACCCGCAGTGACTTTGATCACGAGAATGTCTCTGGCTGTTTCATAGCTCCTTTTGTTGAAGACATAGATCTGTCAGAAAAAGACTTATCAGTTATTAAAATGAATGAGTTTGTCACCATAAATAGTTAAATAGTTATCAGTCTTATATTTAAACACTCCCCCCTTAGATAATGTTTCACCATTGGTTTGTGATGCTTAGTGCATTCAATGAGATATTTTGCTTCTGCTGCTACTTCTGATTTAGTTATTATTTTCTTGACCCTATGATGTCGTCTATTCTTCTGTGAATACACTGAGAATGTTTTATTTAAAGTAACATAACTATATATCATGTAGAGACAAGTTGAGAAAACCAGATGAAAGTGCTGCTGTGAGGCTTACAACACTTAAGCACTTTGAATTATTAATATTTTTAATTATTTACAGGCATAAACAGACTTTGAATGAAAAAAATCCCAGTACATGTAAATAGACTGTATCATATTTTTGTTTATTGGTGTATTTGTGTGCATACATAGTGAAATTATATTTTTTACAACCTAGAGCTGGCAATAATATTTAAGTGATTAGGACTAAATATTATAACATGTTATAGGTGGTGGTGGCATTTTTCATGTATTTTTGTTGCTTTATAAATTTATAAATCAACAAAATGAGAAGCCAGACTTACAGCTGAGTTTGTGCTGAAAGAAATTATACCATGAATGTGGATATGGACAGTTTAGAATGTGATAAACAAAGAAAAACATTTAGAAAATGATAATCAATCTGGACTCCCAAGAGTAAACCCCAGTAAAGGGCTATAGTTTGTTAATACAGGGGGTGTTTTGTGTCAGAGGCTGTAATCAGTGGTCACATCCAAAATGTAGCATGTTTTCCAGCTATAATACATTCTGTTTTATTGAGATTACAGTGACACTTTAGAAATGTGTACCTCTTCTTCAACAAAGCCATGCTTCTTCTTGAATTTTTAATCTTGGTTTCAAAATAGCAGCTCTGGAGACAAACCCTAAGCTTTTGTCTCTGAGGGTCTGACAACAAAACCTGACATTTACCACCGATGTGTCAGATAGCTGCATATTTTCTCAGATTTGTCTCCACTGTGGCTGCACTGGAATCATACCTATGAAAAGACTATTCACAACTAAACAGCAAAATAAGACCAGAAATGCATGTGATACAATGTGCTTTAAAGTGTTTCAGGCTTTTGTGCCACTGTTGGTGTAAATGATGACTTCATACCTCAATTACAGTTTTTCCTGGAGATGTTGGCGTGCCGTACAGGAAGCCATTATCATATGGGTGCCTTTGGGTGAAGCGCAGCCACTCTGGGAGGTCTGGGAAATTCTGCCGGTTGCACTTAAAAATCATGGGGTCATTGTACAAGTGCCCAGCTTTATAACAAACAAAAAAAGGAGTAGAGATATATGCACATACAATAAGAACATATCTTGTAATGTTGTTAATATGACAAAAGAGTGAATCGATATTACGCTCTTACTGTAGAGTTTTGACAAAGGTTCAAAGTCATTCTGGAAAGTCTCTCGTATCAGCTCAAATGTAAATAACCTCCCCACAGGAATGGTGAATTTGATCTCTGCATTGGCCCCAAGAAAACTGACAGCACAAACTGTGTGGAAGTGTGAGAAAAACACCAGAGGATTTATCTGAATGGTTAAAAATGTCTAACAAAGCCTTAAACCTGTAATTATATTATGAATACACACAACCCCTGATGTTTTCTTAACAGTTAGTTCTACAGTCCTTGACAGCTGGAATCAGGACAAAATATTTACACTAAATAACACAGACCTGATACTAATACAGGCTTGCCGGTATTGTCACACTACAGGAAGTTAAACAATTTCAGGAATAAACTTGCCTGTTAAAGAGAAGATCCAGCTCCAGCAGCCTGCCATCTTGTTTCGGCTTGTGATTGACAGAGGCAAACGGAGAGGGGCTTGGTCACTGCAAAAGACATGTCAGAGCTATTTTTACCTCATGCACCTAATAACATCCGCAAGGCTGTCAGAGGAGTGCATCAAGAGCTGTATTATTCCTTCAGGCAATATAAAAGCATAGACATACTTTAGAGATCCATTTTCCACACTTAAGGAAACTAAGTACTTTAGTAGGCCTACTTTTAATCCACTGGAAAATATTGTACTTTTTTGTTGCTTTTCATTTTTAACAACAATATTGGGAAATAAACTTTGAAATGAAATACCTAAATACATGTTTAATACATCAAAGATAAATCAAATCAACTTTTACTGATCTCACGCAAGGAAATTTAAGTACCTGGTGCTCACAAAGTGTATTCAGACCCAAAATATTACAAATACGTGTCAAAATTAGAAAGTTGCCATTGGTGTCTGCAGATCAAATAAGCAGATATAAATGATTTTATAAGACTATATATACTGAGAAAATGTTTTCCTTCAACATTTAGCCTACCATAAATATGAGTTAATGTAGAGAGAAAACTTGTTTTTATTTTTAATTTACTTTTTTATTCAGTCACAAACTAAAGGACAGGGCATTACCCTGCCACAGTTACACACCAATACCCCACTTTGATTGCACTAAGCTAGCTAGTGCATTTATACTTGAAAGTACTGTACATCCTAATTGACAGCACTTACAATATTTTCAGGCAGTAGTCCTCAACATGATCTCCATCAGACTAGACCTTCAACTGCTGTGAGATACAGTAGCTATTATGATAACAGGGAAAGTGGATGACAGTTTGAAAACAAGTAGCCTATCATGTTGTTCTTTCTCGTGTGTGTGGGACAGCTGCATGAATGTGTTGGCCTTGTAGATAAATCAGCCCCCGTAAAAATTTAGAAACACGAGACAGCGTGGGTTGATTCAGAACCAGCTCTTTACCCAAAAAGGGAAGTGCTTTGTCTACCAGTACCTTCAGTAATAATAATGAATCTATCAGCACAGATGCAGAATGCAGGAAGCAACAATGTGGCCTGCAAATAACGGATGTGTTATTGGCCAAGGGTGTTTGACGTGTGTGGTGTTTTACTGGGTCCTAGTGCTGGTCGTGTTCTCTGACAGCACAGCCACTTTAGTTTGATATTCCAGGGCTACACAGATTTTTCAGGGACTGATAAGTGGTCAGCCATTTTATATTAACCAGGCCCAGGGTTTTTGTATATTTTATTTAGTGTGTGTGAAAAGTTTCATTTGTTTAGGCGAGAAGGGGGCAGGGCAATCTGGTCTCATGACTGTTGTGCTGACATGAAGAATTGCTTCTTTTTTTTTGTTGAGTGTTTGGCATTAACCATATCCAAATACTTTAAAAAATAAAATAAATACAACTGTAAGTACCACAGTGGTCCCTAACCTTTGTTTGTCTGATGTGCTCCCACACAACCATGTCAGGTTAACTAAAGTAACTAGTTAGCCTCCCTCAGCACCTCACGACATGCTACAAATTCATTTTGAAACCAGATTGTAAGTGGGTATTATAACATTAGATATTTTTTCATACAACTGAACTGAGAGTATTAAGGTCGGTTTGGTCATGTTTGCATTACCACTTTTAGAGACAGAAGCTGAAAATAGCCTACATAAAACTTACCCAACTATTTAACTATTTTAATCAATTTTAAGTTATGGCAACCTATTCCAACAATTCATTATTTTGAGCTAACTCTAACATGTATCCACTACTTTTAATGGCTAAAAATAAGTATCCATTATTTTTTAAACTGTTCTAGGCTACCACTTTTAGCTAACTTGACTGTTGACATTAGCTGTTTTATTTCAGCTGTTTATCCAACAGTTACTGTTCACTTTTTCACAATTTCCCATTACGATTAGCAATCAGTTTCAGTAATTTATCCATCACATTAGCCATTTAATACTTAACTTACACCAGTTTCAACTGTCAATCCATTAATGTTACTTTTAGCTAGCTAATGTCATTTTAACCATTAGCCATTTAGACTTCTCTGCTTGCTAACTACATTTTAAGCATAGGCTAATCACATCTGACTCATTATGCGGATATTTAGTTTTAATCTAATCATTATTGCCTATATTATATTTTCAAACTAGTTCAGCAAATGGCCTAACTTTACTTGACATTTTCATCTTACAAGTATTACCCATGCTTACAAGTAGGCTATCCCTGTTTTGGAATCACTGATTTACTATATATGAGAAGCGAATTAATACCAATCACTCTCTACAACACATTATGGTTCATACACTTCTTAGAATAATTAATTAGGATTATTTGCAGGCTAAACCTATAGCCGGAATGTCAGACGGGCACTATGACCCAGCTGCTCCCTCCTCCATGCAGCAGCACTCTGCCGCTGCGCGAGGAGGACCAGAAATCTGCAGCTCACAGAATGAAGAGATCAAAATGATGCTGCCTGCAAAAAGGGATTAAACGTAAGCAATCTGTCGTCAGTTGCGTTAAATCCGCGGGTCATTACTGTTATACTTCTCTGTGCATACATGTTTTAATGACTAACGCAGATATCTATGAGGGTTAGGTTTGCATTGTTGTAACTGCAAGCGAGCTAATGACAGATGCATCGTGCTCACTTTCTCCGTTGCATTGGACGAGAATTGCAGCGGATGCAAGCAGGCCTTTAATACGATCTGTTGTTTTTGTTTCTCCCCATCTGCCGGTCTAGTCTGAGCGCCACCTCGCGAGGATCGGCTGCGGGTGGATAATACAGATTTGCCACCGGGGGTTGAGAAAGGAGACATGCCGTCGTTGAGCATCCGTTGCGACGCTTGACTGACCATGATGAAGACCGAATCCACATCCAAGAGCACCGGCTCTGGCTCTACGCTCAGGAGCCCATCCCCGCACAGGAACGCGTACGAGGCGGGGATGCAGGCCCTGAAGCCCGTCAAAGACAATGCTGCAAACGGGGACTTGCAGGATGGCCCCCGGGGGCGCAGGTACGGCTCCAATGTGCACCGTATCAAAAACATGTTCCAGCAGATGACCACATCCCCAGCCGATGCAGAGGGAGAGGACGTCGCCAGAAACGCCGACAAATCTGTGCGCCTCTCCCTCCCAAGAGCCGGGAGCCTGAACGAGAACGTGGACCACAGCGCCCTGCTGAAGCTCGGATCCACCGTGTCCGAGCGCGTTAACAAGTTCGACAAACCGGAGAACGGGCACCAGCGGGCCTCGTCACCCAGCTACTCCAAACTGCAGGAGACCCGTCGCATCTTCGAGCAGCAGCAGCAGGAGAGGCAACAGCAGGAGAAGCAGCAGCAGGAGAAGCTGGCCACCACCAGGGTGCTACTGAAGACAGACAAGGCCTCAAGCTTCCAGGACAGCAGGTTGGACGTGGTGGCTCGTTTCAATGGCAGCACAGAGTCTCTGGACAGCCTGGACACCAGCGAGGCTGTGTCCCCTACAGTCAGCCAGCTCAGTGCTGTGTTCGAACGGGCAGCTGAGCTCCGGAACAACCTCCACCGCCTCTCCTCTACCCCACCACTCCCTTCCAGGGGGGTCAGCGCCAAGGTGGGTGTGTTGAACTCCAAAATTATCACAAAGAGGGTTTGTGCCTTAGCAGCAGGCAACCAGGAGGAAGACATAAGCAATCAAAACGGCCAAGAGGGGCCTCCAAGGGGCCCCAGGGGGAGGGTGACTGAAAGCATTAATGGAGGTAAAAGTGTTGGACAAAGCGCCTCAACTACTGACCTTTTCAGTACTGTAGGAGAGCCAAATGAGCAGAGAGAAAAGACTGTTTCAGATGCAGGTGTTGGGGTGAAAGCTGAGGTCACATCTGAGGAGCCGTCTGGGGCCAAGGACCACAGCAGCTCAACACTGCAAGGTGACATCCACATCTCTGTGGAGAATGGAGAAACCACTGCTGAGAAGCAAAGCTATTCAAAGGGAGGTGAGATGCTCAGGCAGGAGGGGCAGAATGCTAAGGATGCTGAGGAGGAAGACAGGACTCTGAGAGACGACCAGTCGGGGCCAGACTCTGTGGATATCAGTACCTACAGCGCGGTGGGGGAGGACTTTGGAGGAAGTCAGGTGGATGAGGAGGAAGATGAAGTTGATGACCGTTACGAGCCTGAGTCCAGCTGTGTGGAGATTGTTGGGCTGCCTGTGGAGGAGGACCCGCCCCCTTCCAGGAAGATCCGCTTCAGTGTTGAGCCCATCAAGGTGAGAAAATATGCAGTAGAAAAACACATAGAATGAATATAAATATTTATATGTAGAACATAAATATGTTATCTTTCAGACTGTAACCACAGAGCATTGTTTAATGAGGCTGAGGTGCTGATTTCTGATTTGTAAATATGTAGCTGTTTTATTTTTGTGTGTGTTGAGAGGCTTGTTAAACTTGACCTTAAAGCTTATCTACTGTGGTACAGTCATAGCCAGTGCCAGTGTCAGCTGTTTTAATGAACTCACTCAGCTTCTGCCGGTGTCAGAATGATGCTGACATTTTGATTTTACCCTGTTTCAACATGGGGATTTGCACACTACTAACACCCTCCCTCCACAGTAGCCAGCTACTAATGGATGGTCCTGCATTCCTACTGTGCAGCTGGATGGGCCCCAAAAGAGCTGCGATGTAGATACTTATCTGAAATGCAGAGGGAGCTGCTTCTGTAAATAATTGCTGGGGGAGGAGGAACAAAGAGGATGGATAATAAGCCCAGTTTTTATAGAAGTGGATACTCTGCCGTGGCCACACAGACAGTGTATGGAGAGTTGGGTGAGGAACTGCATGTGTGAGAGAGAGGGAGGGAGTGAGAAAAGAGACTGTGATCTCTTAGAGCAGTAAGATGAAAGAACGGGAGAGACGAAGAGGAGGAGGTAGAGTTGATTTAAAGTGTCTCTCTGTGTCTGGGGGTGGCGTAATGATCTGGAGAAGAGCATCAGATCCTCTCCAGCTCAGTCTTGCTGCTCTGCTCTGCCTTCAGGTCTGAAGAATATAGAGCCTCTGCCAGCTAAAGCGAGCCCTGACACTGTACATCACACCCATTCCCTCACGCAGAAAGTCATGTCAGTGACTAAGGGCTCCTGTCGCATATCACGACCAGTCAAGTCGAAAGTTGCTCTTGTTCTCTACTCATGGCTGCACATCGGCCAGTAGTGCATAGTCACTAGAGCTTGATATTTCTGGATTTGACAGAGCATTTGTGTAATATCTTTTACACAAACTCTTTTTGGCTATAAAATAGTTGTTGTAACAAAAATTATACTTGAACACTTAACTTTAAAGGAGTATAGTTTAATATTTTAATACAGACGCATATTTGCCAACAGTTAAATGAGAAGGCTGATACCACTTTTATGTCCTTAATGTAAATATGAAGCTACAGCCAAGAGACGGTTAGCTTAGCGTTAGCTTAGCTCAGCACAAAGACTGGAAATGGAGCTACAGCTAGCTAGAGAGTGAAGTGAAGTAAGCTTCATTTGAAATTAAAGGATTTTTGACCACTGGTAGCACTGTGGAGCAATGCTTTGATCAGTGCGTACCTGTTTTGCATCTTATATGTATAGCACTTTTACAAGCATATAGGTGTCACGATATTCATTATCGCGAACAGTTGCAAACCTTTCCACTGAGTGACAGTTAGTTGGTGGTTGAAATGCACCAAGAAACGTAGCAATTTACCAGCTAAAACGCAGGGAAGATTACTAGACATTGTAAACATGCATGTAAGCAATGCATGTTACAAAATATTTAAAAATGCTTTGGCAAAGGCTTTGCAAATGTTTTTATGTGGAAGGAAATGCATTCAACACGTTTGTTGGGCTTCGCTGTGCTTTGAAGAGAAACACTCACAGTAAACGTGAGTCCACCTTTAAATAATATCTCCACCTCTTAATAATATCTACAAACAAAAACATCATACAATATTTCAAACTTGACTTGAGAAAAATAAGAAATGCAGCCTTTAAAACATTTATGTATAGC